AGTTCTGACAACCACAAATGTACCAAATGAAAGAGTTGAATGTACATTTCATTGTGAATATTTGAAACACAATTCACTGAGGACAATGGCTATGTGTATCCATGTTCATACACTATAGCTGAAGATGTTGTGAAATGTTATTGTAGCATTTTAATGAGGCCTATATAGTAATTAAAATTTTTCTACAGTTATACTTTTTGCATCATTGTATGCCTGATTTCTACAATTCATTGTAGCCTACCCCTCTCTTTAGGCCATGCCATATTGCATGCCTAAATGTGCCACTTCTTTAAAGGCCTTTCTAAACTATTCAGTGGGTACCTTTGGGCATTAAATCATAATTTATAATTGAACAAGTTCAATTTAAAACTGAATTATGTCAAAACACCAGTCATGAGGTTTGAATCATGTATAAATATATGGCAAGCCAGAAATACTATCAAATTTACAACAGTTCTAAACCAGTTCAAACCACACTACTAGATTGCGAGTTTAGAACGGCTGTAATACATAGTATATATATATATATATATACATAGCTCTGCTCAGATTGTTCCGTTTATACCTTGCCAGGGTACCAGGGATAAAGTTTAGCATTGACAACCCTTATTATACCAAATGAATTGACTTTTATTACATTTTAAACATTACACATTTCCCTGTAAATATTTCAAATCAATTTATTGAAGAGAATGGTTACATGTAGGCATGTTTATGCATGCACTGAAAATGTCATGAAATGTTATTGTAGCGTTTTAGTGAGGCCTGCTAATTAAAAATTTTCGATGCCAACTTGTATAAACGTAAGGACGGGCTTTAGTTTAGGTTGGGTGTTCTCACCATGCACACAAAGCAGTGTAATGCACAGGTTGCATGATCAGTTTACATAGCTGTGCATGACTATAAGTCTGTATTAGTTCATAATTACAACAACAATGCATGTGAAGTTATTTCTGTACACTTTGTAACAGTTGTGAGTTCATGATGTCATTGTGAAAAAGTTAGTTATAGCAGTATTGATTATTGAGAAGCTGCACTTGTCTCACATGT